TTTTACACTCTCCCCATGTGGCCAAGGTGGTACAACGGCCATTAAATTGTTGCAGTGTGCCAAAAACTGTTACAGAATGTCACTACTTTTTCAAGTACAATACTGTGGAGTGCCATTTTTCCTCATCAAAATACTCATAACATTTTGGTAGTTTTGCGGGGAGTTGCTGAAAAAGACTAATGGAATTCATTTAAACAGCAAAAGATCATTTGAGCAGATTTTTTTGACACTGCAAAACATGGGAAGCTGAAATCTAATTGGACAAAAAAGAAAACATGCTTCTACTCCAAGCAGTGCAGCCAAGGAATCCCGAAATGAAGAGAATAAACTGTTAAGAATAAAAGAAAACATTTATTGGACAAATACTAAAATGTAGGTTTCAAATGCAGCTCAGTGGTTCCGGAAGCGTTTCAGCTCTTGATTGCCCATCACTGCTCAAATACATCTTGTGCATGAGATGGCATTGTGCACAGTAATGATTGCTTGTGTATGTGTGTGTCCTTATGATAAGGTGAGCAGGGATCAATGTGCAAAGTGTCGTGGGTGCAGCCAGCCGTACAAAAAGGAGAAAAGTCAAAAGCATGACTCAAGACATTTTTCGACATGAAAGCGGGGCGCTTCATTTCTACCTTTCGGGACCCTACGAGGGGTAAAATGTGGAGCATCACAGAAGCTTTTTATACACATTTAAGCTTCCCACAGGTGTTTCATTATCGTTTAAAATCTTTTTTGAACTTCACTTTTGTGGGTCGATTTCAAAGTTGTGCCCTCGGGAGCGCTGACGTTTTCGCCCCCGTTTTTTGAACTCCGCCTCGACGGTGCACCAGGTATCAGTGAACGAGCGCGTTGGGAGGTGTCAGATAATAAACCAATGAGCGCGTCGTGTTTGGCTAATTGACATGGAAGGCAGCAAATTAGCTAACGTCTCGACCCGGGGACCTTTCCACCAATCAGCGAGCGCGTACCCAAAATAACACCTCCTCTTGTTCAGCACCCAAAGTCGAAGGAAAGCTCTGCTCGTGGGCCTTTCAATGGAGCAAAGTGTTACGTTTGTCACTGTTGTATAATATTACCCACTTCTCCTTCTCCCCCACCTTTTTTTAAACGGAATTTTCTTGCATTCAATGCTGAGGGGGGCCGAAGTATAGCGTCAAACATGCGTAAAAATCAACGCCATCCAAGCAGGGAACCACCGAGAGAGGATTTAACGCCGCTCAACTGAGGCCAACCTCGAATCATTATTCTTTTCCCTTTCCCCGTTTTGTCCTTCTCGCTCAAATAAGGAAACGTAGCTCCGCAGAGAAGCTTCTCGGGGCTTTTCGACGACGACAAGCCGGCAAAGATTGGATCCGGACTGGTGGAACGACGGGATAACGTAAGTAGCCCATGCTAAATCCGCCTGTGTGTGTGTGTCTGTGTGAGTGTGCTAACACTTTAGCATTGGAGTGTCACTCGTAAGTAGGCCTTTCCGCAGCAACACTGGGATCGTTTTGAGTTACATTAGGTTTTTGGATTTGAGTTAAATTCATCATTGGGTTTTGGGACGAAAATACACGCGCGCATGAATGGATCCTTAACTTGTGCGTTTTAACGCCAAGGCCTAGCAGAGTTTGAAAAGTCTTTAACGACAACAGTGAAGTTTTCAAAGTTACCCCCCCCCCAACCAATCATCACCAGTCGTCGTCATAAACAGCCGCGGTTGCTCCGATTAAAAAGGTTGTTTTTAAAAGTCGGAGTTGGAATGACGTAAACGGGTCAAGCTACATAGTTAGCAATAAAGCTATTTTTGTTGTGGGGCAATGACCCGAAGCCTGCCAGATATGTAATCGAGCGGATTTTTGTCATTGTCACTGTGGAGCAGGTTAGCTTAGCCTCCAGGTTGTAACGATGCTGGGATTACACTCGCACACCGAACGATTTTCAGAGAATCTAATCATCGCAAATAATCCTAACCCCCCCACCAATATGGCGACTGCGATTTGATAGGCGATTTTTTTTTAATTATCAAGGGCCTCTCCCGTGTATTTATTTAAACAAGCACACGCAAAATAATCATCTGTATTAGAATAAAAAAATTGCTAGATTTATTATATTTGAATGTTTTGGTTTTATCGGTGAGTTGTATGCTAAAATAAAGGCAAATGAGCCATGGATAAGATGAAAGACATTTTACGTATCCACTCGAATTAAAAACGTACTCAACATTGACTTGCAGTCTTGTGAAGTGTTCCCGATGACAACTTCACCAAATCGTACCAAACAAGCGTGGTGTAAATGTAAGTCAGTGAGTCAACACAAGCTGTGGCACAGTTTAGGGGTCTGTGACCTCACCTGATGTTGGGCGTGTGCATGGTACCTTGCTCACCAGCTGATAGAGCCATTGTACAGAGACAAAAAAACAAAACCCACGCAGATTTAAAAATGACCCCAAAAAAGTTGATGCATCATGGTTGCTGCCCAAGCAACAAGTTGGTCAGCAAAAAATTATTTAATTCATGGGAGAGTCTAATATCTCCCGCCTTTACGACAATAACACCAGATAAGCGTCACAGAGATACGCAATTTAGTATGTAGGAGATGGGTGGGCTATTTGTACAGCATTTTAGGTCGAAGGTGTCATTTCATCGAATAACAGTTAGCTTGTTACCTTCATGCTAACCTTTAAAGCAGGGATGTCAAACTCAGTTCCTGGAGGGCCGCCGTCCTGCATGTTTTCCAAGTCTCCCTGTTACAATTCAAATGATCAGATCATCAGCAAGCTCTGCGGAAGCCTGACATTGAGCCTGTTCATTTGAATCAGGTGTTTTGCAACAGGGAGACTTGGAAAACATGCAGGACAGCGGCCCTCCAGGAGTTTGACACCCCTGCTTAAAGTGACACGCCATAGATGGGCTAACGGAAATGAGCATAGACGTTATGGCAACGATGCACATTTTCAAACAACTGCTACTTTACCCACTCGGAGCAGCAGCGCATCTAAACACCATCGAGGGACGCTCAGAGGCCGATGTATATTCTTTCTACTTTGTTGGACTGAGAACAAGAATTTGAAAACAGCTAATGTGGTACCCAACTGAAAGTGCGTATCTGGTCAATTCAAATTTGGCTGTATCTGGTCAAAGGCCACCCAAAAACGACGCGCCCCAGACAACGAACTGCCAAATTGCGTGCGTTTACTGTGCGTCGCAGCATGGCAGACCTCCAAACAAATTAGCCATCAGAATTAGTGGCTAGAACCTTCCACGCTAACCGCGTCTCCTCTTCAGAGCAACACTCCGCAGCGTTATGTAATCAACCCCGACCTTCCACTTCCCTCTTTGTAGTTGCTGCTTTTTTGGCAGACGTACGCGTCTGAGGCTGGGTTTCGGGGTCGATCCCGCGGTCACGGGGCGGGGGACGACAAGTGTTTTTTTTTTTTTGTGTGATGGCTTAAGCGGTGGCTTTGCGGCGTTCCCGTGTTAACGTGTCGTGGGAGTATGCCGTGTTTATTTTGACAGCGCTCCTGCCTGTCTCCATTGAGGGCTTTAACGGCAGGATGATGCAATGCCCCTTCCTTCCTTCTCGCTTGCAGCGCTTGTGTTTGAGACACACGGTAGTTTACGGGGGGCGGGGGAATCGTTGTCGATGAATGAAGCTAAGCCTGCAGGGTGGGTGGTTGCTAGGCGACGGCTGCGTGTTTGTTTTATTTTTAACCAGAATCACTGCCGGCCGCGAACATACCAGGTCTCTGCTCTCGCGTTCCTCCCGACGTCGCTCGCGCGCTGAGTGGCGGGCCGGGTCGGGAGGGTTTCATTTTCCACAATGGCGTCGTGGCCCGCCCCGGCCGTGAAACCTAAAGCGGCCCCAGTGTATTAATAGAGTGTTTCCTCACACACACATGCGCGCATTCCGACGAAAACGGTTGTAGAGGCGGCCTTTTTTGGGCACATTCCCATCATGTCGCATGGGAGGAAATCGATATGTCAGATGGCTTTTGTAATGCTGAGAAAACTTGTGTTGGGCATCAAAATGAAAAGTTTCTGAGAATGTTTTGAAGGGAAAATGCCAGGAAGTGCTGCCACTCGTTCAAATTGATCATTATCCATTTGTCCTAAATTGCAACTAATTGCTAATCAAAGCAATGTACAATTATTTTGATGACTGAGTTATCGCTCAGGGACAATGTTTTATTTGAAATTTTGCTGCTGGGGATTTCAACTTCTCAAAAGGGAATATTTTCCGGTTTCTGTCGTCCTCAATGCAAGCAGACTCATTTTCTTTGCGTTTAGTCAAAAAAAACAAAATTTTCGACCGTTGCAAACATCGCCTCCTCACTTGGAGAAGAGTAATCAACAATTGTAAGAGAGTGGGATTGAAAATTTCTACAGAGCCTCTCCACAGACCGAATAGATGAAGTTCTCGAACCTGCTGACTTCTTTTTTCGCTCTTGGAGTCACCAAATGGCCCAGCATGTTGTCAGCGCAAGTCTGACATGAATTTCAGACTATTACAGTTATTCCCTCCCTGATGTCATCACAATTTTTAGACTAATAAAGCTTTTCTATCTATCTTTCTATTTACCAGGTTGCACTTTGACCCACTGCTTACGCTCCGGCGTGACACTGGCTTCCCTAGCCAACTTGGCTAATAGCATTGGCCGCCCTGCGTGGCTCTTTGTATACTGGAAGAGGCTTTAGAGACATTGCCGTAATCCCCCCCCCCCGCCCACTTTCCCCCGCTGCGATCCTTGTCTTTATTGTCAGGAACTGTGGCTCTCTCCGTGCGCTAAGTCATTAAAAGCGCTCCATCACTTAGGCGGCGTTTTAAGTCCTGCCAAAGTGCTGACGCGCACCAAAAAGGAACCGAGCAGATGATTTACAGAAGGCTCATTTCATTGGCTACTTGGCTAATGTTCCAAACACTAAACGGTTTAACGCGTCGTCGTTTTTGTAATGGATGCTGCCTTCACACTGGCAAATTGGTGTCACGGTGGAGCCGGCATTTATTTGCCTGGGCAAAGCCAGAACGGCGGCAGATGATTTTGAGATCTTTGAGAGGTCACCTTAACCACGACGCGGCCCACGATGAAAACGTGTTTGGCGCCACGCTGCTGCCAACGTAACTTCTTTGTGCTCTCCCCCTCGTCTCCCCCCGGTTGGTCTTCAGCTGTAGGCAGCAATGGGTGCGTTCCTGGACAAGCCGAAGACCGAGAAGCACAGCGCCCACGGCGACGGCAACGGCCTTCGCTACGGCCTGAGCTCCATGCAGGGCTGGCGGGTGGAGATGGAGGACGCCCACACGGCCGTGGTCGGCCTCCCCCACGGACTCACCGACTGGTCCTTCTTCGCGGTCTACGACGGCCACGCCGGCTCCCGCGTGGCCAACTACTGCTCCGGCCACCTGCTGGAGCACATCTTGTCCGGCGGCGCCGAGTTCAGCTCGGGGCCCGGCTCCGTGGAGGGCGTGAAGGACGGCATCCGGGCGGGCTTTCTGAAAATCGACGAGTACATGCGCAGCTTCTCCGACCTGCGGCAGGGCCTGGACCGCAGCGGCTCCACGGCGGTGTGCGTGCTGCTCAGCCCCAGCCACCTCTACTTCATTAACTGCGGAGACTCGCGGGCCGTGCTGAGCCGAGACAACAAGGTGGGCTTCTCCACGCAGGACCACAAGCCCTGCAACCCGCGCGAGAAGGAGCGGATCCAAAAGGCCGGCGGCTCGGTCATGATCCAGAGGGTAAACGGCTCTCTGGCCGTTTCTCGGGCCCTGGGGGACTATGACTACAAATGCGTGGACGGCAAGGGGCCCACAGAGCAGCTGGTGAGCCCCGAGCCCGAGGTGTGCGTGCTGGAGCGGGCGGCCGAGGGGGACGAGTTCGTGGTGCTCGCCTGCGACGGCATCTGGGACGTCATGTCCAACGAGGAGCTGTGCGAGTTTGTGCGTTCGCGACTTCTGGTGTGCGAGGACCTGGAGAAGGTGTGCAACGCGGTGGTGGACACCTGCCTCCACAAAGTAAGCTGCAAAAGATGCGAGAGCGAGTTCGTCTGTGTCTTTGGTCCCGGCATTCGCTTGCCTTTGACATCTGCACTGTCACGCTGCAGGGGAGCAGAGACAACATGAGCGTGGTCCTGGTGTGTCTACCCGGCGCTCCCAAAATCTCAGAGGAGGCCGTCAAGAAAGAGGAAGAGTTGGACAAATATCTGGAGGCCCGCGTCGAGGGTCAGCGCACCACCGCGTTTAAATTCAAGCCTCTCCTCGGCTCAGGAAGGCTAACCCGGTGCCCGTTCTTATTTTTCCCCGATTTCCAGAGCTCCTCGCCAACTGCGGCGAGGCCGGAACGCCCGACCTGGTGTCCGTGCTGAGGAGCATCGCCACAGAGAACATCCCCAACCTTCCACCGGGTGGAGGCCTGGCTAGCAAGTAGGTAACACGCGAGGGGCGGGCGATTCGTTGATTTCTTTTGATTCGCAAATCATTGGAGTTGATTTGTCGGGATGAAAGTTAATGCTGGTGAAAGAGCTTGTTTGGTTTCAGGGGAAATCCAGCCGTTTCTAATCCGCTTCTCCTCACGAGGGTCGCCGAGGGCGTGCTGGAGCCTATCCTCGCCGTCTTTGGGCGGGGGGGCATACAACAAAAAGCAAAACAAATTTGGGGGAAAATGATTTCCAAGGAAAAAAAACAATTGGCTCTGATCCTCATGTACACCCACAGGAAGGATAACAATGTGTAGCTCTTAAGCAACCTCCATAAAATCAGTGTCTCTGCATTTTGGCTAAGTGAGTCGCTCTGTGCGTGTATACATATATATATTTTTTTCCCTTGCGCAGACGAAGCGTGATCGAAGCAGTGTACAACAAGCTGAACCCTCACAAAGAAGAAGAAGGGGTGAGTCTGCAGTTCTTTCTTCTTTATACCCCCAACCAAAGCACTCACCTCTTCATAACCGCTCACCTCTTCATGTCATCCACACATGCACTCCAGCTGTGTGTGTGTGTGTGTGTGTGTGTGTGTGTGTGTGTGTGTGTGTGTGTGTGTGTGTGTGTGTGTGTGTGTCTTAGTAAGTTTCCTAAGGTGTGTATCTCGGGCTCCACGTTAGTGAGAGTGTGTACGCACCTTGGGGGGTGTGTGTCTTTTCTACTGTCTGTGGGTGTCTCTGTGCATTCATTGCAAATATGGCGACGGGTTGATGTTCAAGCTAAAGAGGGAGCCGAGGCATGACGCCATGACAAGCCTTCTTTTGACGCAATAGTGTGGGTGCGTGCGTGCGTGCGTGTGTGTGGTGGTGGCGGCGGCGTGTGCCCCCAGCAGAGTCTGACCCCCTGGCGTGTTACCTCAGGCTTGTGCGGGGGGAGAGGAGGAGAGTGAGGAGGGAGAAGGCGGCAGCGGCCCGGCGGCTCACCTGCTGGAGGCGCTGCGGCAGTTCCGCCTCCACCACCGGGGGCAGTACCGCGCCGCCCTGGAGGATTCCCTGGCCGCCTACCAGCTGCGCCCCGAAGGAGCGGGCCAGCGCAGGAGAACCGACGGCGGAGGCGACCACGACGACGGCCGGGAGCGAACCGCCTCCCCTCCCTCTCCCCCCTCGCCCCCGCCCTCACCCGCCGCTGCCGAGTCCGACGCCTGCCAAGACGCGCTCGCTCCTGAGTCCGATCCCGCCTTTTGACTCCTGTCTTGACGGACCGCTCCTTCTCCTCCTCCTCTTCCTTTCCTCCTCGTCCTCGTCTTTTCCTCCGTCACATCGTTACTCTCGATCCTGAGTTTCAGAAAACGTTCGTCTGCTCACGTTCTGCCTCTTTAGTTGACACCCGGGGCCGATGTCAACTTCCTGTTCTGCGCTTCCACCCCCCACCCCGCCCCCTTCTTGCTCGCTTGTCAGCCAGCCAGGCACCCGTTTTGACACTCGACCGAAAACGACCCACCTTTTCGTCCCATGCACTTCCAGGTGGCAAAATTGACATTGACGTTTCAACAGGTCAGTTGATAGGGAAAAATGGAGGAATGGCACATAGGAGTGCCCTTTTGGCGCTGAAACGGATTGCGTGCTGTCGAGCTGACGTTAGCTAGCAGGCTAGCCGTTCGGCTTTGTGGCTTCCAAAGATATGCCACCTCGCTCAAACGTTCTGCTGGAGTTGATCGCGATTTTGAAGGAAATATGGAAAAAAAGCACAACCTTTGGTTATGTCTAGTTTTGCAAACCCCAAACTGCATTTTTGATGTTTTTAGTTAAGGGTTTTTTTTTTGTTTTGCCATCTGGAAGTGTTTATTGTTAACAAACATGAAAAGCTTCATGGCGAGAGTGCCTGCATATAAGTGGAGCCTTGGCTTGAGCATTACTTGCCGGTACCCCCAGTTGCACCCCCCCCCCCTTCCTCTTATGCCCCACACCCAACTTGCACTGGATGGGACAAAAAGGGGACACTCAGAACTGCTATCCCGGACACACTCCACTATTTTCTTTTCACACTCAGAACACACTCTTGTGTCAGTGTGCGTGTGTACGTGTGTTGGTATGCAAGGTGACATGTTTGTGTGTGTGAGACTGAGCAGGTGACCAATGATTGCTGCTGAGATTATCCTTTTTTTTTTTTTTTTTTAAACTGCAAATTGTCTCCTGTCTGTGCGTGTAGTTGTGTGTGTGTGTGTGTGTGTGTGTGTGTGTGTGTGTGTGGGTGGTTGGGTTTCGAGGGTGTCCCCACTACCCGCGTCATTTAAAAATGAGAGCCACCTTGAGGCTTCAATGTTAGCTAACACTCCATCCATGGGAAGTTGAACACAAACACACCGAGCGTTAATTATTGTAAGGTACACACCGAATCAGGTCACACATGTATCCAAGGCACTTTGCGTGTGTGCGTGCGTGCGTGCGTGAGTCCGGTTACATGGGGCCAAATCAGTCTCGCATGGTAAATAAAAATGATTTCAGGTACATTGCTATGTCGTGTCTTGTGTGCGAACCGGTCCCCCAACATCCTCATCGTCATCCTCATCCCAATGTGAATTGATGGACGTGGTGCAGATGAGAAATCTGACACAAGAACAGTGGGTATGATTCGGTGCCGTTTTCCAACCTATTTAACGGAAGGAGGTGGTGACAAAGTTTCAGAACCGGCCCCAAAGGTTCTTCGACCGCTCCGAATTCCGAGCTTCAGTTGTGGCTCTGTCCGATTGAAAGCAACAGAAGGAACCCAATTTGGACTGCAAAACTTTCACAAAAGATGCTAATTGACTCTTCCGAAAGCCACAGAGACATTATTTCCGCCTCTGAGCAAAGCTTGCCCCTCCCATACCCGTTTTTAAGTCCCGACAGGTGTCCCGGCGACACCCGGCAAGGTGAGTCGCCGTTAGGTCGTTTGTCCCGTCATCGGACTCGGTGCAAAGATGCACCCGCTGCTTTGGAGTGCAACCCGGCGCTATTTAAAGCTACCCTTGAAACTAACCGTCTCCCTCCCTTCTCTTTGACCCGCCCAGTGCGCCAGCGAGCCGGAAGACCCCTGGTAGCCGTGGCGACCGCCTGCGTCCCCCTCCGCCGAGGCGCTGGATTGCATCCGGAGCAGGAGGAGGAGGAGGAAGAGGCTCTCCCTTGCGCCATGTTCTTTCTCCACTTTAAGGGGACTTTTGGTGTGTGTTGGAGTGTGTCGGTTGTGTGCGCGCACGTTGTGTGTGTGTGTGTGTGTGTGCGCGCGCGCGCGCCTGTGCAGGTGGGACGACAACATGACGCGCATCCACACATGCAGACCGCCTCAAATTGGGAAGGGGAAATTGTCAAGATTTTATGGACTGAAGCATTGTGATGGTCAAGATTTTTACTTTTTTTTTTTTTTTCCTCCTCCCTGAATAATCGACGCCTGACTTCACAATGCCGTGAGGACCGCGCGTGTGTCACAGTTTGTCATTTTTCTTTCCCCCCCTTCTTCCACGCCAAACACGCATTAACACTTTCCGCACGTGCTGTATGTGTTGTGCCACCCACGCAGGCCGCGCTGCATGAGGACTCCACATGTTCAAAGACATGTCATTGATTGATTGACACTGACTGACTCCGCCCCCCTGACCCCGCCCCCCTTCAGCAGCTTCTGGACTCTTGAGGTGATGATCAGACATTAAGGAAAGGCAGAATGGATCTTGTGGACGTGGGTAAGCGTTTAAAAGGGGTGCTTAAGAGTGTAGTATCACTGGTTGGACTTTCTGATTGTTGGTGAGGGGGGAGGGGGCCGTGACCTTACGTACCCTCCCTTTCCTAGCACACTTGGAAGTGCACATGGCGGCATGTTGTTTCAATTGTTTTTTTTTTTCCTCCATCGTCCATGAGGTTCCTTAGCCGCTCGCTTCGTAGAGTGAGTGAAGTGGTCGTTTTAAAAATAATTCAGTACGTTTCTGGTTCTCATGTTTGTATTGCTGTTGTTTGTTTGTTTGTTTGCACTCAACATTTGATTACAGAAAAAAGCGTCTATATATTAAATAAAACGAGAGAAAAGGGGAAAGAAACCCCGCCACGGTCAAGTGCTGGATATCCTTTTCTCTCCCGCGAGGAAGTGCAGTGGGTGTTTTCAAAATAAAAGGTGACGAGGAGAGCTCAGTGTTGTGAATATTAGCTTGAGAAATGTTTTGATCACTTTTTTGTTCTCTGACATTTTGTGGCGTCTTAGTCTCAAGAAATCCTATTTGGGCAAAAATCGAGATTAAAAGAAGCCGATATTTTAGTTCTTCTTTTTCTTGTTTGAGGCAAGATGACCCTGTTAAGAATAAAACAGGTGCTCACAGCATATGCTGCTTTTGCTAAAACGATTTGGGCCTTTGCACTCGAATAACGTTGCGCTACCACAAAATTGGAGCCCCATCTAATCTGTGACACTCGTTTAAATCATAATCACATTGCGTCTTTAAAGTCTTCTCAATCCTCGGTGGGATTAGAGGATTTGTGTTCAAATGTGAATGAGCAATCCAAATATACTGTATGAATAATACAGTACAGTGGATGTTTTTTTTTTTGGGGGGGGGGTTACATTCAATTTGGATGATTGTTTGGCACACGCGCGCCCACAATCCACTTAAGGGTTAGTGATGAAACGATGTTGACCCGTTAGAAAGTAGCATATGCGCACCCTAGCCGGGGGATCGTATTTAATCTCCTCCCCTTTCATTCGTTTGTGTCAAGAAAAGCAAACAAAACACACCAAAATGCAGTTCTACCGTGCTCACCAATTAGCAGGCATCCAACTCGATTCGCAGCGCCACCCATGTCACTCACCAGGCCAGAGCCTGCGTTTGAAAGCCACAAACACTCAGTCACAGATACTCCATTAAGTGGAGCCTATCCCAGCTGTTTTCGGGTACACGCTGAACTGGTTGGCAGCCGATCGCAAGGCACACCTCGACAAACAACCGCGGGTGCTTACAATCACAACAACAAATATTTTCAACTGACTCCCACAAAAATGAGTCCTTGTTTTGATTGTTGCCATTTACTGTCTCGGTCTTTATCATTGCTCTTTTTATTTGTTTAATCTTATGGAAATTCTGCAAAATTAGTCGTCCCAATTTCTATGCATGGTTACAAATTGCAGTGCCCCCCCCCCCACCCCTGCCACCGTCCCTCGGGCGAATGCCCACGCTCAGCTCTGCGTGAAGCATATGATTTTGAGTGGAATAATTTAGAAGATGAGCGGCCGGCCATTGTTATCGGGATAATCTGGCTCTTGCTGCTCAGATAGGTTAACATGCGGCGGATTAGAGGGGGATTACCCCCCACCTTCCTAAAACCAGACAAGACCTGCCCCAAAAAGCCCCCCCCCTTCACTCACAATGTCACCCCACCTTTCGCCTGTTTTTTTTTTTTTTAATTTAGCTTTCTCCATCTCCTTTCACGCATGTCGTTTTTGTGTGTGTTTAAAAGCCACCAAAGACGATTTAGCGGATGTTTAAATCGAACCTTAATATCATATTTTGACCTTCTTCGCTGGCTAAAACAAATGGTTGCCAAAATATTGGAAAAGGCCTCAATTTTGTCCATCTGTGAACTTAATCTCTGACAGTATCAATCAAAAATGTCATTGAGGGCCTGGATTATTTTGTCCATCTGTGAACTTAATCTCTGACAGTATGGATTGGATTTTGTAGGTGACTCTATGAGGACATGCTTCTGCACAACACTGCAGATGACAAACTGCTGTATGAATTACTCAAAACTGTTCCTGAGAAAAATTCAAAAGTATTACAAATAAAAGACGTTAGGATTTTTTTGGGGGTGGGGTCGAAACAAATTGGTGCCACTCATTTCAATGAGGAAAGATGTTTGACACTATTTTGAATAAATACGAATTGCCGTTGCACAACAAAGCATTCAATTCGGTGATCTATTTAAAAGTAATAAAATTTGAAATATATCGTTGGTGTCCAACAAAAAAAAAAAACATTTTCAAAAAGTAAATTTGTTGAATGTTGAAATGAATAATCCTAGATCTTAGTAAGAAAATTTCAAATCTATATATATATATATATATATATATATATAATATATATATATACACACACACACACACACACACACATTTTTTTTAAATTCAAAGTCATGTTTAGCTTTGTGTGGCCAATCATGCTAATGTCTACCTTGCGTTTGTCCATTAGCAGATATCGATTTGTGCTCCAGCTGTTTGTTTTTTTTTGTGGCTTGCCCGGCCACGTTCACCGTCAGTTATTTCAGCCATCACGTGACACTGTCGTGACTCCCCATGCCCACACGGGGCCCAACATCTGCCCCAATCTGCGGATTTATTAGTCAAATTATCTGATTATCTTGTTTGTCCGTTTTGTGTTTTCATGTTTGTGTTCACCCCCCGCCCCCACCTGTCTCCATGTTGTTTGTGCACATCTGCGACACCCGCGGCATTGGTCCCTTCCACATGTTCCACCTGACAATACCTGCAGGCGACTGCCTTTTTTTTTTCCTCTCATTTTTGATTATCTCGTGAAGCCCAGATGTTTTTATTTTTACTTCCTGACGCTATGCTAAGCTAATGCCTCTTGCCCCCCTACACACACACCACCACCACCACCACCGTCCTACCCCCTGCCCACACCATTGTGCCAAAAACTCTGCTGGCGAGTGCACACCAAACAAAAGTCCCCCAAAGAGGCAGGAAGTGATTAGCGGCTTAACGAAGACCGAGGAGGCTCAGGGTGACCCCCGTGCCCCTCCTAATGGCGTCAGGTACAGTTAAAGTTTGGTTGAGGTGGGGGAGGGGGCTTAAGAGGTCAGTGTTAAGTTGTCAGAGGTCAGCGGAGAGGTTAATTGGGGGCTGGGTTTTTTTGTTTTGTTTACCGCAGAGCAAGGATAAGCACTCCGAAAGTGTCGTCCATCTTTACACTAATTGTTCCGCCTCTGAAAGGGGACAAGCGACTTGATTGTCGCTTGTGTGGACCCGTCATGGTGTGGATGACTCTTTTATAGGGGTGGGGGCAAAATTGCTTTTTCAATGTATTTTGGACCGCTTAATCCAGCTACGTGACATCGCCACAATACAAAATATAAGCAAAGCAGAAGAAGAGATGAAATGCTCTTAAAAAAAAAAAAGAAAGTTCAATGTTCTAATGTTACAAATACAAAGTAGTACTTTAATGTAAATAAAGTCATCATGTCACGAAAATAGTCAAACTGGGACGAGGATGAGACCGGTAATTTTACCCAAATGACGCACGCTGTAATGACCTTGTATAAATAAGACTTTTTGTAAAAATGGAAGTCATTTTGACTATTTTCACAAAGTTGTGTCCACTTTGGTTGCATTTTTCCCCCCATAAAATGACCACTTTTTCATAAAACTGTTCGAACTATTCAAACTTTTTGGGAAACATTTTCCATAAAATTATATGTACAGTTGTAACGTCACAATTTTATCTGTTGTAATATTTTTTGTAAAAAAATATTGAAATTTCCCACTTTTTTAATATTGTGAAGGAAAATAACTTTCTTGTCATATATCTATATCCGGTAAATGTGCGCCTCTTGCGTCTTCTTTAGCTCTTCAAAATAAAAGAAGACCTGATAATGTTTGCATTGTAACCAAAGTATAATTGATTGACACAAGGTCTTTTTCCTTACGCTCATGACAACGTAAAACGGATTTAAGTGCAAGATGAAGGGATTACCTCGACAAACATCATCTGCAGTGAAAAAGTGGCGCAAGATTTGCCAACAACGCAAACCAGCCCCCAAGGCCCGTCGTTGCGGCTAATTGGACGTAACCCCTTTCAAAGCACCCGCGGGACCCCTTTCTTCACACCCACAGCACATCTGCATCGCATCATCCGGCAGAGTTGACGGCAAAGGGGGAATTGATGTGCGATAAATTCGACAAAAGTATGTCATGGCTCTTCATTTTGCCCCGCCTCCAAAACACATTTGGACCGTTCAAACGTATCGATCCCTGACGTGAACTGCCCTTCCGGACCCCCACTTGGCCAAAAGTGGCACGCTCCCAAGCATATGCCGCTGCCGGCCCACCAACATGTGTTAATGTTGATTGAACGATGCGCCGCCATTAGACTAATGTTAGCCCCGCTTTAATCCAAGCATCGACGAGAATGCGGATTTGCGCCCAGTTTTAACAATATGAGAGAACAGACAAAAGTGATTAGAGCGGCGCGAGATACACGCGCCGTCCGTCCATCAGCCCGGCTCCCTGTCCGTCCATGTCGATTGATCGCTATCTGGCCACAGGACATCTTGTTAATTGTCGCCGGGGGTGTTGGAGCCTATCCCAGCTGTCTTCGGGCAGTAGGCGGGGGACACCCTGAACCGGTTGCCAGCCAATCGCAGGGCACACAGAAACGAACAACCATACGCGCTCACACTCACACCTAGGGACAATTTGGAGTGTTCAGTCAGCCTGCCGTGCATGTCTTAGGAATGTGGGAGGGAATCGCGATACCCGGAGAAAACCCACGCAGGACCCGGGAGAACATGCAAACTCCACACTGGAATTGAACCCAGTGCACTGTGAAGTTAACGTGCTAACCACCTTAACTCTACTTTTCAAAATAAAACAGCAAATTGTGCAATTACGCCCAGTGAAACATCCCCAATTTAACTGATTGACTTTTGACTTTTCCATCGGTCGTCACATCGTAACAAGTGAATTCTAAATGGTCGGATCAAGTGGTGTCCCCCGAATGGTTTTCAGGATCGTGCGGGCGGGCGTCTCGCTGTGGATGTTTTGATCGAGAGCATGGTCAGTCTGTCCAATCAGAAGTGCGAGCGACGGTCCCGCCCTCCCTCCAAGGTGCACTCAAAGAGCGCATCCCCCAGCGGCTTGTCTCCACACGGTCCGGGCGTCTCCGTCCCTTCCACATGGTGTTCAGGTCGCCCCTCGACTTCTTCTCCGCCTCCCGCCTGCTCTTCCCCCACCCGGCGGATGGCCCCTCCGGCGACCCCCCGGTCTCCGGCGCCCCTCTGCCGGGCCTGTGCTTCTCGGCGTCGCAGATCGCCAGCGTGTGCGAGACGCTGGAGGAGACGGGCGACGTGGAGCGCCTGGCGCGCTTCCTCTGGTCCCTCCCGGTGACCTCGGACGGCCGCGACTCCATCTCGGAGCACGAGTCGGTGCGGCGCGCCCGCGCCGTGGTGGCCTACCACAGCGGCAGCTTCCGCGAGCTCTACCGCATCGTGGAGACGCACCGCTTCACGCGGGCTTCGCACGGCAAGCTGCAGGCCATGTGGCTGGAGGCGCACTACCGCGAGGCGGAGAAGCTGCGCGGCCGGCCGCTGGGCCCCGTGGACAAGTACCGCGTCCGCAAGAAGTTCCCGCTGCCGCGCACCATCTGGGACGGCGAGCAGAAGACGCACTGCTTCAAGGAGCGCACGCGCGGGCTGCTGCGCGAGTGGTACCTGCAGGACCCCTACCCGAACCCCGGCAAGAAGCGAGAGCTGGCGCACGCCACCGGCCTCACGCCGACCCAGGTGGGGAACTGGTTCAAGAACCGCAGGCAGCGAGACCGAGCCGCGGCCGCCAAAAACAGGTGAGACGCTTCCGCCGGTGGGGTTGCTTGGGGGCGTTTTTAACTGACACACGCGATGAAAACTTGGAACCGTGGCTGTTTGCCCCTAGAATTGTGAGCCTAAACGAGCTTCACTGTGATCCCCTCACCCTCGGAGTGGCTTTACTATAGCCGAGGGCGGCGCCCCGCCGGCGGCTGTAGCCGTGCGTAAAAGGAGCATTCACGCGTAAAAGCGCGCAGGCATTCAAACTTGTTGGTTTGGGGGAATGTCGATCGAGCAGAACTAACCGCGTCTGTCTCAGACTCCAACTGCACTCTCGGGGGGGACATGTGAATTTCTCGACACTCTTATTTGGCTTTAAAGGACAATCACGTCAGGTTTTGCCCATGCATTGAAACTTGTCTTTATGCTGTTGAACGATGGCGCATTTAGCGTTTTCCTTATCTCAAGTGTTTTTTCTTCTCAATGTTGACTCTAGAATGAAAATAATGCCACTTTATTTTTTTTTACGTAATATTGAAAAAATGATTCACACTAACAATTGAAAAGAGAATTTCCACTTTTCATTTTGTTTCTTGATATACCCTCAAAGCTTCAAAATCACAATCTTTGAAATCTATTTTCATTTTATTTTTTCATATTATTCTTCGTCTGAACTTTTTGTCTTGTTTCCTCCATTTAAAAATCATCAATTTTATCGTCACTAACCATTTTCTTACATAGCTCACTCAAGTTGTTTGTGTAAAAAAAAGCATTCATATTTCTCCCTTTCCTGACTGAAATAGTGTTAATACTTTTTTCTCCAATATTGTCTTTTTACGTTAGCAATGTGAAAGTACAGTCGAATGCAAATAATGCACAACTTTTTTTTTTTTTTTACCATTAAATTTTTCATGTACGATAACGAATCCTCATTGAAATTAACAATTGAGAGCACGTTTGTTTTTCCCCATTCGGCAGCTTCAGAATCATGCAACTTTTCATTCAGGTCTTTTTTTTTTTTTTTAATCTTCAATATAACTCAAAAGTGCACATATTTCCCGCCCCTGCTCAGGTTGCAGCACCACCGGATGTGTTCTGAGGGCGTCGGTCATCCCCTGGGCGGAGGGGCGTGCATGAGTCCGGACGCGAACGCGGACCGAGCTGACGGCCAAACAGTCCTCTCGGTAACGGACAGTGACTCGGACCTGGAGGTGTGATTCATTCTTCTTCTTCTTATTATTATTATTATGAATAATGATACGAATAATATTGGAAACAAATCGACTCTGGATTCAAAGACCCTGTTGTGGTCCCACCCAGCGGGAGGAAGGTGAGAGCAAGCAATAAATCTCCCCCGATCCTCGCCCATTGACACGTTCCCCTGCGTGTGGCAACCATATTCAGATCTTTTTTTTTTTTTTAATTATTCATATCTCCCGAGTATCCACAGCTGTAGACAATCACTCAAAAGCTTCATCCCTCGTCTTGAGTCCTGTTTTATTCAATGTTGACTTACGATGTTTTTATTTACTTGAAATCAAATGTTTTGCTATTTTATATAAATAAAAGTATTTAATGTAAGTGAATTCTCTTCCATGAGCGCTTGTGTCTTGTTGGGGATTTTCATTTTTAATTGTTGATTTAAATTTTTTTTTTTAATATACACACACTGCAGAAACATCCATCCATCCATGACATGAACCACTTTATCCTTACGGGTGTCACAGGCATGATGGAGCCTTCTTCCCCAGAGGTTGCCAGCCACTCGCAGGGCACACATAGACGAACAACCATTCACACTCACAATCACACCTTAACACAATATAAAGTGTTCAATAAACCTACCATGCGTGTTTTTGGAATGTGGGAGTTAAACCCGAGGACCCGGAGAAAACCCACGCAGGCACAGGGAGAACATGCAAAACTCCACACACGAAAACAATGGCCCGTAATCGAACCCATGACCTCTCTGCACTGTGAGGATGACGTGTTAACCAGTTGTCCACCAGCCTACCGGGCCTCAGTGAGAAGTCATTTTGAGCTAGTCAGAAATCGAAGTAAATCATGGTGGTGCTGTCGTTGCCTAGGTAACGGCGAACCTACCACTATTTCGTCACATCTCAGTAGTTTTCCCCTCCCGTCACGGAAATTTCTCAAGTGTCGGTGAACACACCGTGCTGCTATCTGACGTCACATCCTGGAAGCACATAAGCCTGGGTGACGCGCCAAAATGGCCAGCAGGGGTCGCAGTTTCACTGGCTATTTTCACCAACATTTACTGTATTGATGTTTGTACATTTGGATTTCAATAATTTTCCATACAATATGTTTTATGTGTACCCACTAGCATGTGAACACGGTATTCTGATTAATATTGCGTTTGTGGAATTTGAATTTACCCGGAAAAAAAATTCACCAGTTTTTATTAATCAGAATACCGTGCTTAGACTTAACGTTGGCACATCAAACATATTGTAAAGAACCTTATCGACTTGACTTCCCCTTTAAGGAGAAAAGTGCAGACTGAAATGTATTTAAATGTAAAAGCAAAAAACAAATTAAAAAAAACATCGACGAAATAGTTATTTTATTAACTTGTTTGGTAGTCCTACAGTGAAGCAAAAATCTAATTGCAGAAGTGCTACATTGGCATGAACGCCGGCTACACTGACAGACACGACCGCGTGTACGCGCCCCACCTCAGCCTTCCTCTCCTCGGGGCCGCGCGCGAGTGACGCGTTTTGCGCATTTCCTGCGGGCACGCGCGGAGACGGGAAACAGAGGCTGACGGGGGCGCGCGCGCGCTTAGACACACTCAAACACACGCACACGCGCGCGCGCGCACGCTCACACACCCATATACACGCTCACACACACGCTCACACACACTCCGAGGAAATCGAACGATGGCGAAGAAACGAACGTGAATGATGGACTCGTGAACGCCGAGGAACCGAACACGCACCCATAGCGGACTACTCGGAGCCGTCGTTTGGACGAGGGAGCGAGCCGTGAATTGAGCGGTTAAGCGGCGGGAGATTAATCTTTCGAATCGGAGGGGGGAGCGACAGCCCACAAACTGGGCCCCGGAGACTGGAGCGCCAATCCCGGATGGCTAGGCGCGGCTGCTCCCGCTCTCCCCCACCCTGAGCCCGAGCAAGGCACACCGTGGACGTGTGTGGTGTGTATGCGTAAGTGTAGGGGTGGCGGGGGGCGGGCGACGGAAGAAGACCGCTCACGGGAAGCCGTTAGTCGGCGTCCCGGCTTTGTGATCCCCGGCCTTGTTTTCCACTTGTGCCCCAGCACAAACAAACAAACAAACAAACAAACTAGGGATAGGACGTCTTCATCTTTGTCATCCTCAGACCTGAGTACGTGCACACGGCTGCTATGTCTGCAGAGTCCAGGCATCATTATGGGATGTAGCCCCTCTGTGGAGTGAACGCCCCCTCACCAGCTCCCCCATTTCCCCACTCCACTCATTGGAAGGAAGCTGTTTGGAAAAGGCACAGAAAGCTCAAGGCAGGAAGGAAGGATCAGCCATGCCGGTGTTCAGCGGTCTCCTGAAGGTGCGAGTGTGCGAGGCGGTGGACCTGAAGCCCACCCCATGGGCTCTGCGTCACGCGGTGGGCAAGAGTGGCTCCTTCCTGCTGGACCCCTACCTGGCGCTCAACCTAGACCAGACTCGCCTGGGCCAGACGGTCACACGCACCAAGACCAACAGCCCCGCCTGGCACCAGGAGTTCTGCACGGAGGTGCGCGAGGGCCGCAGCCTGGAGCTGTCCGTGTTCCACGACGCGCCCATCGGCTACGATGACTTCGTGGCCAACTGCACCATCCAGCTGGAGGATCTGCTGCAGAACGGGACGAGGCACTACGAGGACTGGGTAGGTGGGCTTCGCTGCAGCTTCTTGGGATCTTGTGACCGTGAGAATATTGATGTCTTGGTTGCATTTAATGGTCTTTGGTTTGAAAGTGGAGGATACAGTTAAAGAACACGTCGCGTATATATCATTTCACAGATTTTGTGTGGTCAACATGCAGCACAGGAAGTATTTTACTGGCCCTGTTACGTGACTGCGGATAATTTGGCCTAAAGTAGTTTGCCTTTCATCTTCAGGAGTTCTTGCATTGTCAGAACAGTAAAGCTAAAACTGAAAAGTGGCACCAAACCGGGTACTACCCCCCCACCAAAAAAAAAAAAAACCTGCAAATTTTAGCTGCTATCAAAACTGGACACTCAAAACTAAGTACCAAAAATCACATACTGCCAATGCCAGGTGTCCTATAAACTCCAACCAAAAACAATTACCAAACCCACTTTTGCCAAATCAGGCACGACTAATTTGTCATGTCAAATCTGCTTCTCCCAAATCAGGTACTGCCAAAACCAGTGACCAAACTATGCCTTAGCAAAACCAGGTTCCAAACGGGCTAATACAAAACATAGATACCAAATCAGGTACCTCTGAATAAGGTGCTTAATAAATCAAAAACTAACCACTCAAACCTGGTGTGCCCAAAACCAGGTGCCAAACTAGGTACCGTAAGTACTAAAAGAGGTGGCAATCAAGTGCTCCCAAAACCACATACGATCCCGGCTACGACCAAATCCAGGTGCCAACAAAGCCGAACCGCTCCAAGCTGTTCACTAAAACGTTTGTTGCGCTATCCCAGTGTGTGCTGATCTTTTTCTTTTTTTTTTTCCCTAACTTAAAATCGTCCACCCCATCTAATTCACCACATCCCTGGTGCCGGTCCTCCCTGCACAATTCTTCGCATTCCTCCCGAGGCTGGAAGGAACGGGAAGTTTCATTCCCGAGCGTCCAGGTTGCAAAGCGCATGTAGGCTGCGCATGTAGCCCCCCCCCCCCCCACTCCTACCCCCAACTGAAGCTCTTTTCGGGACTTCTGGTTTCTTGTCATGTAATCAGATTTGACTCGGTACCGTGATGTCGGAACAGTGCATCCGTATGTCGCCACGTATAAAAGGCCCCGTTTGTTCGGGGGCCTGAGAGTTTCTCCTCAGCGACAACATGTGATCTTGTCACCCCCCACCCCCCACCCCCCCGGGACTTTTGTTTTATCTCGTCTCACTTCATGTTCCAACAAAAGGGGAATTCTGCCGGGCATTCTGGGTTCAATTAGCTGCATGTGCTTTCTGGAATTTAGCGCTGCAGATGCCTACGTTTTAATCAAGTGGTGCCTTGAATTAATTCATTTCAAGCTCATAACTCACTTTAGCACCAAATTCTGATGCCAAATAGCGAGTACCACATCAAGGTACCAAATCATTTACTACCAAATCAGAATGGACCAAAACTAGGTGCGAAATCAAATCAGGCAAAACCAAAACCAGGTGCCAAACCAGGTACGAACAAAAGCAGGCATCAAAACAGGTACAAACAGAACAAAGTGTTCAATCAGTCACTACCAAAAGCAGGTATAAAACTACGTACTACCAAAACCAGATGCAAGATCTGGTCCCTGCAAATCCAAGGGTCAAACCAGCCACGACCAAAAGCTGGTTTCCATATTTTACGACACATCGGATAAGTCCAAAACACATTGATTGTTTTTTAATCGTTCAGTTGCTTGCTGTGCGACACGATTGAGAAGGAAGCGTGCGAGAGAAAATGTTTCGGCACGTCGGCGAGGCGTTTTGTGACACGATGCTAACGCCACCTTTCGCTACGTATGGTAGCCTATAAATAGGTGGAGGCACGCTCGCACCCTCGCTTGCCCAAGCTAAGGTCAGACCGTATGGATTACTCTGTTGATTGACCGTCCTCGTATTGATTAGCTCGCCGGTCAATCATTACATCACAGCAACGCAGCCCCCACTCCTCGGCCGCCATACTCGTGTGCTGTGGCCATGTTTTGAATTTTCACCCAATTTTCAACGTGGGCTGTTAACCTTTCATAGAAAAAAATTGAAAACCATCATCGCTGTTTTCGGTGCAAAGCTCGTGTCACCAAACATATTTGTTATTATTTAAGATCGCCTAAACGGAGTCGAAAGTTCTAAAACAAGATTGCCAAATTGTACCCTTCACCACCGCTGCCTGTCCCTTTTCCGTTCCGTTCCCTCCGTCCATCCCGAACAGCAGACTCGCCGGCCGGCCGGCGGCGTCATCGCATGGGTGAAATATTAACCAGGCTTTGATGCTTATTAATTGCCCCCCAGCCCTCCCTCGCTCCCACCTCCAACACCCCCCCCCCCCCCGCCCCCAGTAATTGAGATGCTCTGTGAAGAGCGTCCCTATGGCGACGCTGACAGGCTGTCCCCTTGGTGACAGCCACTCACCTACAGACCAAGAGGAGGAGGAGGAGGAGGAGGAGGGACAACAAAGTACGCATGAAGGATTTCTGAAGGAGACCTTCAAAGATGCTTGTCAAAGGGATTCCATATTCACGTGAAATTGAATGATTTATTTTCAACTTTGGACATCGCATATCACCAGTTCGACCAAATCCAAGTACTGAACCGGGTACTCCCTAATCCAGGTGCCAAATTGGGGTCTATCAAAACTAATAGTATCAAAAATAGGAACC